CATTTCTTCATCCATGGCGAGCTCCCACTCCCTTGAATTTTCAACTTGAGTGGCTTCCTCAAGGCACTCTAGTTCACCACTATCATTTAATAACAAATAGTGTAAAGAAGGACAATATCTTTGTATGAGTTATTTCTCTCTGCTGGATCTTCTAAATTATGTAGCAGATGAATGAGGAACTTCCAACTCTCCTTCTGATTGAGTACTACTTCTTTCTCCATCTTCCTAATCACTAGTATTTTTTAGCTCCACATATTTGGATTTTCAGAAGTAGCTGACAGAATGTCCTAAGTTCTAACCCTATCCTTGCACATCTTCATTTCGTTGAATGCGGCGTCCCTGCTTCTGATGAATTTCTAATTCTGATAATTCGAGAACTTGTACCCAAACTCATCTAAGTCATATCCAATGATAATGCACTTGACAAATTTTGAGTCAAGCTTGTTGTTGAACCCTGCATCAACATGCATATATGTAGAACACCTAAATACTCTTAAATGAGATAGACATATCTTTTTGTCACTCTAGGTTTCTTCAGTTAAGCCTTTCTCTAAAGGTATTAATGGAGTACAATTTATCAGATAAACAATCGTGCTTACTACGTCCACCTAAAATAGTTTTGGTAAGCCTTCATGCAGTCTCATGCTATAAGCTTGCTCTGCGATTCTTCTGTTCATGCGCTCAGCCACATAATTATGTTGCGGTGTTTTTGGGACAGTGAACTCATGCTTGACCTCCTCTGTAGCACAAAAGTTTTTGAACTTCTGACCACGATACTCACTCTCATTATCTAATATGAGACACTTCGGCTTTAAGTCTCTCATTTTCTACTATAGTTTTCCATTCCTTAAAGACTTCAAATAGATTAGAATTCTGCTTTAAGAAAAAAACTTATACCTTTCTCGTATGATCATCAATGAACGTGACAAAATAGCAAGACCTCCAATGGACTGAACTAGATAATGACCCCATATGTCAGTATGCACAAACTCCGATTTTTTTGATTTCACCGCTGACCCACTATTGGAGAAAGAATTCTTCTTCTGCTTGCCATAAATATAATTTTCATAGAAATCCAAATCAACTAATTTTAGAGCCTAAAGCTTATTCTTTTGAAAGTAGGGACTTCACACCTTTTTTCGCTCATATGGCCAAACTTACGGTGCCACAGACTTGCATCCACCCTGATTCCAACCACATCAATAAAATCAGTCATTTCATGGATCCAATAAAAGACTCCTTCAATGTTGCCCCGAGCAATAAATAATGCCCTCTCGGTCACCTTCCACGAATTAGCTATGAAACTAGTCATAAGTCCTGACTTTGTTAGCAGGCTAGCAGAGGTAAGATTTCTTTTCAAACTAGAAACATCTCTGACTTCAGTAAGCTTCCGGACTGCTCCATTCCGCAACATGATATCAACATCACCCTTTCCAACTATACCGCGGGCTTTGTTATCTCTCAGATAAATCTTTCATAGATCACTCTGAGTGTAATTTTTAAACACCTCTTTATTGAGGCAAGCACGAAAAGAGGCACCTGAATCCATTTTCAAGGATACAGTGCTGACTAGGGATAACACGAGAGAGTCCATTTGGATTTCGTCTGTGGAGACATTAATAGAGAAACTACTTTCTTATCCTCCACTCAGCTTTTTTTAGAGCTTTCAAATCCTTGAAATGCCCCTTTTTACCACAGTTTCAACATTCATCTCTGCTTGACTTGGACTTTCCTTTCTTGGACTTAGATTTGCCTCTGCCTGTATTCCTGCCCAGATTCATTCCCCCTGTTATCAGCATTCAGCGTAGAATCTGAAGATTCACCATTCGTTGTTTTTCTGTGAACTTCTTCATTCAACATCAGACCTACGATATCGTCGAAGTTCAACTTCGATGTCTCTGAAGAATTACTCACCGTTGTTACTAAACCATCTCAGCTTTCTGACAATGAAAATAGTATCACCAGTGCTTTGACCTTATCATCAAACTTGATCCCCAGAAAACATAACTGGTTCGTCACAGAGTTGTTATTGTGATGCTCTGTCACTAAACTGTCTTTCACCATCTTTATGTTGAATTATTTATTCATCAGAAAAATTTTATTGGAAGCAGAAGATTTTTTATATATCTTGGTCAGTGCTGTCATAAGATCCACCGTAGATGTTGAACGCAATAGATGTGGAAAGTGTCAACCTGATCAAACTTAGTGTCATTCGATCTAACACTTCTCATTCCTCCATAGGCATAAACTCAGACTTCCTTGTAATTCCTTGTAGTGGCAATTACAATTTTTTCTGATACAACAAATCCTCCACCTGTATCTTCTAAAAAAAACGATGTTCGTCCCATTGAACTTCTCCACTTTGAACCTTGCTTCTTCATCCATTGCTCCAACTTGAATCAGGTCTGGTTCTGATACCAGTTTGTTAGGGAAAACTACCGCGAATGAGTTTCCTTTTAATTTTGCTTCTGAATAAGATCACAATTTTCAAGAAAATCAAAACAAAAATTTAAACACAGAAGCACAATCAAAGCAACCAGAAAATTACACAAGGTTTTAAGGTGAAAAAACCTGAGAACAGAAAAAAACTACGGAGCCACACTACCATAAATTCTACTATAAAATTCAGAAAGTTTTACAATGGACTCACGCAAGTTTCTTCTCCACATTCACACAAAGAAACTTACAGGACTTGCACCAGCAATCTTTTCTTTTATATTTGAAGCAAAAAATCACGTCAAATCACCACAATTCATCTCTTTGACACTCTTCACTTACACCAGAAAGCTTGTCGAAGAATCTGAAAAGAAGAAAACAACAAGCTCACCGATCAATGTTAAAAAATTGGTTAAACTAATTTTTCATGTAGTAACTGCACCGGGTGCTCAGGTGCCCAAACTTGACTCTTAAGCGCCAAGCGCTCTGTATCAACACCTCATAGATTGACGCCTAGGCTCCAATTGACACCGACGCCTATGCTCCAGTCTCTCAGTAATAAAAGCTCCCTCTCTATAGCAGGCACATATGCACCCAAAGTCGGCACCTAGGCGCAGACTCGTTTGTTCGAGTAGCACCCAAGTGGGTGCTTGAGTGCCCACAACTCGACGCATATACGTCGGGTGCCTTGTGCTTAGGCTCCATGGTCAGTCTGTCTTCATGTTCGAGAGGAGTGAGCCAATCTTGAGCAAAAGTAGGACTCTGTGGAGTACACTTGGCCCAATGTTCCAATGTTGTTCAACAATAGACCCATAGATGGTTGGACCGATAGAGATGGTTTCTTCGCAATTCGGGAAACCTTCTCAGGTGTTTTAAGGTACAATGCATTCTATAGTAGGATCCATGTGCTTTTAGAGACGTATTTGAATGTCCTCTTGCGACAGCTCTGCCACCTTCAACATGGCCGACTTGACACCATGAGATGAGGTTGAAGCTCCACCAATTATGGTAAACTGGCATGGGGGCTGGGTTGGGGGCGGGGTTGTGGGGCCCAAGCCTGGTTTGGTCCAAGTGGAGTGAGGGTCAGTTGATCCTCTCTAGGCCTAGGGTTGCCGCTAAAGTGGAGTGGGGTTCTTTTGTAATAGTGGTAGGTCTATTTTAAGTGTTTCTTTGTTGTTTAGGGTTCAGTTTTTCTCTGATATGCTCCTGGACGGTTGTCGGCGTTGCCTTTTCCCATTTTGTTGTTGTATCCTAAGGTTCCAAGTGATGCGCGGACTATATCTTGGTCCTCTCTAGGCCTAGGGTTGCCGCTAAAGTAGAGTGGGGCCCTTTTGTAATAGTGGTAGGTCTATTTTAAGTGTTTATTTGATGTTTAGGGTTCAATTTTTCTCTGATTTGCTTCTGGACGGTTGTCGGCATTGCCTTTTGCCATTTTGTTGTTGTATCCTAAGGTTCCAAGTGGTGCATGGACTATATCTTGGTCTCCATGTGGTGTGTATCCTCTTTTACCTTTCCTATATACTCTTTTGCATCGATTCCCTTCACCCTCGTTGCTGCCCCCTTGTTGCCACCTTGCCGAACCCCTTTTTTTCTTATTGCTACCACCCAAAACAGCCTCTTTTACTGCTGTTTCTAGCTTGCTAGCCGTCCTTTGCCACCACCCCGGAGGTTCAAACCTTAACCGATACCACCCACACCCTAGATCCAATTCTAATTCTAGTGTTGTGCTATCGTTCTGTTGTATTTTCATATTTCTTTTTTATTTGTTGTAATTTCATACTTTGAATGCAGTAGTAATATTTATTTTCCCTTGGGTATTTGTTAAATTCCAATATCATGCCAATGTGATACAATCATATGTTGATGCTTCTGAAGATGAGTTCGCTATGGATCTCAATCCTTACGGTGTATTTAAATTTTCAGTGAATCCTTACTGTACATATCATTTCAATTTTTTATTTTATATTAATATTTGAGATTTATGATTTTTTGTATTTATGATAATAAATTAAATTAATATATCAATCATTAATGTCATATTTATAATTTTTTTACTACACACACACACATTGTGGCTTATATCCGCCTTGAGGGTAACGCATCACCTTTCAAAGCAAAACGTCTCAATTTGAACTTCAGTTTTTTAAACCTTGGGAAATTACATCTTGTTTTTGGTGCACTAGTTGCATGTTATTTCCTTATTTTAGCTTTCTTAGGTAGAAGGACACTCTTAGTATAAGGAGGCGGCTTGTGGGTTGATGTTTGCATTCTTATTCCTACTTTATTAGAGCCCAACTTTCCGGACTCAGTCATCTAGTAATTTTCTTATTAGATCGAAAGAAATATACTGTTTTGATTTAAAAATAAGTTGATTTATTTCTAAAAGAAAATAAAAACATATGAAAAATATATTAAAGCAAATATATTTTTTAAAATAAAAAATAAAAGTGATCCGTCCCTTAAAGAAATTGATTTATAACTACATATGTTTTGGATGATTGATTAATCATCAGTTCTAGCATGATTAATACAAGTATCTCGTCTTGTTTTGCTTTATCTTTCAGCTGCTCATCACCGGCGGTGGAATGTATGTAGAGGTGTTCAATCGAGGCGTAATCCCGCTCGCATACAGCATAAAGAAGAAAAACAAAGCTGGCGAAAGCAACACGTACTTGGATGGCATCTACCTGCTCTTCACCTATTTTACCAAACCCGAGTCGATTATCGCACTCGAAACCAGACTTAAAAAAGATGACGATGTCATTCGTTCATCCTCTTTCAAGATTAGGAAGAGGAGATATTAGAAGCTTTCTTAAACGTCAAAGCTCACATGTAACAACATATGCTTCTTCATCATCATCATCCATGTTTTGTTTGTTAAGTATGCTTGTTTCTTATTGCTGTGTTACTACTGAGGCTGTGCAGCAATTATTGATTGTTTGTGGTTTGTGGTGCATCAGTAGCAGCTTAGTAAAGAATTACATGTGTGCACAGAATTATGTAAACTTTAGTCTTTTATTGCAATTCTAGAGATTTTTGTATGGCTGTGTTAGATGAGAAAATATTGCGTCTGGATAACGGATGCGATGCACGAGAAAGTTGGCGCTTCCTCTGTGTATCGCGTCCGTTGTCTGGACAGAGCTCACGTCCGGACTCCAGACAACAATATTTTTTCGCGTTAGACACTAGTTGTGATTATTTTAGTTGAAAAGAGCAGATGCACATGACATTTTCTTACCCTGATTTTTAATTTTGCAAAACTTTGTTAAAGATCGTATGAGATTGTGTTTATTTATTTTTATTTTATTAGATTTATATTTTTTATTTATAATAAAATACATTTCATATGTTAAAAGTAAAGTTGTTTTGTTTTTATTTTCGGTTGTTCGTTTGCTAAAAAGATTAAAAAAATGATAATTACATACACATCAATTGAAATATTAATATTTTTAAAATTAGAATTCATGCGAGTTCTTTTGAACTATCAAATTGTTATATTTATACATGCCACAATATGGGTTGATTTTATCATGATTATTTAAAACTTAGCAGGTATTGAAATAAAAAAAAAAAAAAGGATGAAAGAGGGTGTCAAATTTGTAAATAGCAAAAAATTGAAGGGAAATTTACATACATAACGCACATTTCTTATGCAGTTAGATATATAACATCTAAAATTTGGTATTTACATTTACAATACTTATATTTTTGATATGATGTTAAAAATTAAGTGGTATGGATGTATATATTAAAGTAGGTATTATATATATATCTATGTGTGTGTGTGTGTGTGTGATGCCACCGTGATTAATTAGTTGGCAGTATTTGTAAGACCTCGGGTGTCACAGGCTCGAGTCTTGCCTTGAATTAGTTATATCAGGTTGGTTGGGGTGTTCGTCCTCTGGCCAATCAGATGTTAGACTTAAAGTTTTCTTGTGCAACACCGCAAGAGAAAACGTCTTCCATTCAATTGAGGTGAATTTTCCATTGACTAACAACTAAGTGGTTTATGAAGCTTTCATTATCGGACTTCACCTAGCCTTAGATATGAGAGTCGTCCACATAATGGTAAAGGTTGATTCACAACTCATAGTAAACCAGATCAATGGAGAATTTAAAACCAGGGACGAACTATGGCGAAGTACTTGGGGAAGGTGAAGATGGAGATTGATTGGTTTACCAGCTTCAAAATCGAACATGTCTGAAGGAAAAAAAATCAGCTTGCCGACCTTCTATTCCGAAGCCTTCATCTAGGAGAAGGACTACTTAAAAGACTAGGATGACCCTGGATCGAAGAATCTCTAGCAATAGAGATACATCAGAATGAGAAGACAAGCTGGATGAGCTCATGCATAAGCACGGGGGAGATCGACGAAGAAGTGCCCGATCGTAGGATATTCAAATATAACGCTGCTCAATACCTACTAGTCAAAGGAAAACTCTTTAGGAAATTGGCCTCGCCCTTATACCTAAAGTGTCTTGGGGTAGACGAGGTTGAAGACATACTCCGAGAAGTTCATGGTGGGGGAGTGTTGGAGCCATTCTTGGGGAAAGACACCGGCTCACCGAATTCGACGACAATGTTACTTTTGGCTGAACTTGCTCAAAGAAGCCAAAGAATATTCTAGAATGTGTAAACAATATCAGAAGTACAGACCATTGCGCCATCAGTCGGCCCAAAAAATTCACCTGATCGTTAGTCCTTGGTCGTTTGCCGTGTGGGGTCTCTTCATCTTGGGGCTTTTTTCCCCGTCAAAAGGACAACATAAGTTTTTATTGGTGGCCGTCAACTATTTCTCCAAGTGGATAGAAGCAAAGCCTCTGGCACTCATAACGGTGGAACTTCATCTGGACTAATCATAATTACATATAATGGGACCCAATTTGCCGAAAAACAAGTTTAAGATTTTATTAAGAGTCAAGGGATCAACCTCAAAATTGCTTCCGTACATCACCATCGAATTAACAGACAGGAGGACGACGCAAACAAAATCATCCTAACTTTTTAAAGGAAAAAGCTAGAAAGAACAAAGAGCAAATCGACATACTTGATCCCTTCGGTATTCTGAGCGATCTGAACAACATCGTCCTTGTCCGTCGACCAGACCCCCTTTATGTTGTTTGATGGAGTGGAAGCAATATAACTAGTTGAATACAAAAATCACAACCAGAAGGCGCTCTCCACCTCAGCGTTCGACGAGGAAGATCTAGTAGAGCGGCATGAGGCTAACGACGAAGGAGTCAGACTAACCCTAGATCTGGCAGAGGAGAATCGAGCCAACGTAGCCCTTCGGTGAGAAGAGGTTAAGCGGAGGTCAGCAAAATATTTTAACAAACACATACATGAAGAGAATTTTGCCTCAGGGGACCTGGTATTGAAGAAGGTCAACCTCACAGCCACGGGGCAAGCTGTTGAGAAGTTGTATAAAACCGGAATGACCCCTAAATCATTCACCAGAGAGCTGGACTAGGAGCAAACAAATTGAAGGCATTCACAGGGAACGACGTCCCTCGAACTTAGAGTGGTGAGGATCTTAAAAAATTCATCCCTTAAACATATCCCTACTTGCTGAAGGAACACTATCATAATTGTTTTGTATAACCCTTCTTATCTTTAAAAAAACTCAATATAACAAAGAAGCTTTTTTACATTAATAACATCTAAAAGTTTGAGATTTCACATATTCAATATTGCTAAAAGTACTATCTCTTATTATTTTATGCTTGGGGTATTGATGCTCTTACGCTCGGGGAACTGACACAATTGTGCTTGAGGAATTCACGCTGTTACACTAGGGGAACTGACGTTGTTATGATCTGAAAATAGGTTCCACGAGTGGCTAAAAACTTATCAATCAACGCAAAGATTGTCAAGTGGCCTATAGGACATATTGACACTCGACAACGACAAGCTCTGCGAGGGATGCGTGAAAGATCATCTTGCGTCATATTTTAAGCATTAATACTTGAAAACAACAAGCTCTGCAAGAGGTGTATAACAATCATCAGTGGCCTATGAGATGTATCGGCATCAGACAGAGACAAGCTTTGTGTGAGGTACGTGAATGATCATTGTGCGCCCTACTTTAAGCATTAGCACCTGACAATGATAAGCTCTGCGAGGGGTGTATGACCAATCATCTTGCTCCCTACTTTAAGCATTAACACTTGGTAGCGACAAACTCTCTAAGGGGTGTTTAACCATCTCTAGTGGCCTATGGAACGTATCAGCACCCGACAACGACAAGCTTCGTGAGGGGTACGTGAACAATCGTCCTGCATCCTATTTTAAGCATTAACACCCATCAGTGATAAGCTCTGTTAGGGATGTCCAACCATCGCTAGTGGCTTATGGAAAGTATCGACATCCGACGACGACATGCTCTGCGAGGGGTGTGTAAATGATAGTCTTGGTCCTTAACTGTGGCATTAAAACCTTCCAACGATAAGCTCCGTGAGGAGTTCATGACGACAGCATATGTGAAATGTACGTGCACTTACCAGCAACTCATAACAACTGAAATTACTCGTGAATTTCAGCAAAGTATGTAAAGGAGAAAATGGTCAGGATAATAAACCACCAGCTTCAAAAATTTCCATACGTGATGACAATTCATTTGTGAATAACAAATAACAATCTCCTTTACAATGAAACAAAAAGAAACATAAAGGAACCTAAACATACAAAAGATGACTGCTCTAACCCTGAGCATTCAAAGACTATCTAGAATCTTCCTCACTTGTCTCTTTGGCACCATCAAACTCTCGGTATGTTGACTCATCTCCACCCTCTGAATTAGAGAAAAGTTTCCCAAAATCCTCAATATTTCGCCACTTAGGAGAGAAGCTTCCCAAAATCCACCAGCTTATTCTTTACAAACCTCTCGATCGCGAGAGAAATGCTGACTGTAATCTGACGAGAAAGACCCTCGACATATGCCTCCCTAGTGATCATCGAAGACATTTTATTTTTTCAGCTTTTTATTTTCTTTTAGGAGAGCCACTGCCTGTTCCTCATGTTGTTAGGCATATGTTTTCCTCTTCTCAAAGGAAAGCTTCAATCTCTCTTCTACCATAGTAAGTTTTCGCAACAACTTTTGAGCCCGCCAGGTTGACCACACTACGTCCTCCTCAACTTTGTCTAGGAGAAGAGCCTAAAAATATGAAGCTTTCTAGGCAAGCACATGATAACAATTGACCACTTAAAACATGTCCCTTATGTCCATCGACCTTAAGGTCCTCTCGAAAGCGCGAGACCAACACATGTTAATCAGACTCGAGGGGTAGTCTTTATTTAGAGGATTTGTAGGGAAGGTCTCCCTGTCAATAAGAGCGTATTGATCTCTCATCCAAACACCAGCTCCTTGATCACGTGGGAAACACCCACTTGAGTGGAATCACCCCTACGTGCATGGGAGGAGGGGGCAAGTCGACATCAGGGATATGAGCCTTTTCCTTACCTCTGAAGGGTGTCGCTCTTCATCTGATCCGCGACCCCTCATACCTCCTCGAAATCGGTCTCAACAGAGAGAGGGCAGAAGGCGCGACTCGTCTCACCTCGCTTCTGTAGAGGTATGAACTAGGCCTCCCCTATTATCGCAAAAAATTCTCCAATCTACGAGAACAATGATGGGCCTCTGGACTCATGAAGGCTAGGCGATCGAGAAGAGTCCGCCCCTAGCCCCTTTCCGATGAACCTAGCAAATTATACAAAGGTCACAAAAATGCATTTCACACACAAATATACAAGAAGATAAGTAACACTAACCTTCATCACCCCCCTCGACCAACCTTATCTTGTCAGTTCGACCCCGACCTCTATCAAGTGAGGGAGGACCGCCTCTCCCACAAGGCCTCTTCAAAGCCACCCTCTCTCCACCAACTTTCTTCCTAGCAACCTCCATGTTGTCGCCCGATCTCCACAAATTCTTGATCATGGTATAAACACCATCCAAACGAATCATGTGTTTGATCACGTTGGGGACAATGTACTGAAACAAAGAGAGGCGTTGGCCCTCACTCAGCGCCATACGGTCTCGAACAGTCCCTAGCAAGGTTTTCACTTTCTTTACCTTGCACTCTGTAGGAGAAGTATGGATCCCCCATTCATCCTCACACAAAGCGATCAAGAACATTGTCTTCCAATCCTTCACCCTATTCTCATTCCCCAACAAATGACTCTTAGTACTGACGACAAACTAAATATAGCCATCACGAC